ATTTTATCAACCAATCCGGTAAGGTCGAACATGATATAGAACAACTCAAACTGTTGGAATCAAACCAAGTCCCCTAGAATGATGGATTAAAACTAAGCCCCCAAGCCTGAGAAAATTGTACAAGGAAGTAAAAATGAAAAATAATTCTAAGGAAGTAAAAATGATTCTGACTGCTAAGAAAGAGCTGACTGAGCTGACCTTTTCATGCTCCTTGCCCAAGCTGGAAAAACACCCGAGAAATCCCCCTCCCATTTCTGCTTTTCTTGGCTTGAATTGCTTGTGGTTTGTGGTTTTTGCCTTTATAAACTGACTGTAAGCTGAATTCGGGACTTCTCCTTTCTGATTGAGGCAGAAGTCCGTCTGCAGATGAAATTAAATCCTCTTGCTTGTTGCATCTCCTGGTTTGAGGACTGAGTTATCCACTGTTTGGGGGGGGGGTCCTACATTTGGGGGCTCGTCCGGGATTCGGTCGCCCCCCCAGACCCATTTCCTCAGATCAGCAGGAGGTAAGAATATTGGTCTTCTGGTTTGTCTTGGTCTTAATGTCTGTCAGTCATTTCCTGTTCTGGGAACGTTCTGTCTGAATAATTGTGCCTGTACAGGACCTGTAAGTCTGTATTCTGGGAACCAGCAGGAGTGGCAGACATGCCCAGAGACCCCTGGTTCTTTCACTCTGTCTTTAGTGACTAGAGTGATCTGGACCCCAGGAGAAGAACGGAGATTGGCTTGGCTACTCCCCTCCCGATCTGTACTTTCAGTTTTGAGTCAAGAAGCCACGGCAAGGATTGTTTTTGTTTTGTGTTTGTCTGTGTTTGTGTTTGGGGATCCTGGAAGTGAAAATAGTGAGTAAAGTGCGTGTCTGGGTGTAAGAAGGACCGGTCCACATGAATGTGATTCAATGCGGTGTATGTGTGTGCTTGATGGTGTGTTAATATTTAAAAGGGAAAGGTCTGATATTGCATTTTTCTCTACGCTATCTATTTTAAACCTTCCCCCTCCTCCTTCTCTTTCCTTTTTATTCTTGGCCTAAGTCTTCACGTGGGACTGTTAAAGGTGAAAGAACAAATTCACATCCCCTGCAGAAGAAAAACTGGGCAACGATAGGTATTTGTCCACAAGCACACTCACTGGTCATTATTGTTTGGAGTGGCATCTGTGTCTCTCTCTCTTCTCCCTTTTTCTTCTGTGACCTCCACTATGGGTCAATCGCTAACTACCCCTTTAAGTCTAACTCTGGAACATTGGAAGGAGGTTGTGGAACGGGCCCATAACTTATCACTAGAGGTCCAAAAGAAAAAGTGACAGAGTCTCTGTTCCTCTGTATGGCCCTCTTTTGAGAAAGGATGGCCAAGGGATGGGACTTTTGACCTTGCTACTATCTTGCAGGTTAAGGAATACATTTTCCACCCAGGACCACACGGACACCCAGACCAGGTGGCCTACATAGTCATCTGGGAAGACTTGGCCCGGAACCCCACATCTTGGGCACTGCCGTTCCTACCTCCCCGGGGAACCAGGGAGACTGATCAAGGGCCCCCTACTCCTTCTGCTCCCCCGAGTCTCACTTCCTCTCTCCTACCCCTTCAGTCTTCCCCTGAAAAGAAAAAGCAAAAGCCAGTCCTCCCCGAGGACCAAGCTTCCCTAACCCTCCTTGATCCTCCACCTCCCTATCCACCTGTGCAGGCACCTCCAGCCCAAGAACTACCTCCCCTCTCTCCTGATTCCACTGAACCTGACCAATCCCCCCGCCATCTAGCAGACTCCACCTGAGAAGAGATAGAGGGGGCCCCTCTGATGGAACCTGGACTGCCCAGGTTTTTCCTCTCCGAACTATAGGGGATCAGATCCAATATTGGCCTTTTTCAGCCTCTGACTTGTATAATTGGAAGACTCATAACCCCTCTTTTTCTCAGGATCCTCAGGCTCTAACTGCTTTAATAGAGACTATTCTCCTCACCCACCAACGCACCTGGGAGGACTGTCAGCAACTCCTCCAGGCCCTTCTAACCACAGAAGAAAGACAGTGAGTCATCCTGGAGGCCCGGAAAAATGTCCCCGGGCAGGATGGGAGACCCACTCTGCTCCCAAATGAAATAGACACAGGATTTCCTCTGACCAGACCCAACTGGGACCCTGAAACCGTGGCTGGTAGGGAGTGTCTACGTCTTTATCGCCAGACTCTGTTAGTGGGTCTCAAAGGAGCCAGAAGGCACCCGACCAATTTGGCAAAGGTACGTGCTATAGCCCAAGGAGAAAATCAAACCCCCGCAGGGTTTCTAGAACACCTGATAGAGGGATATCGGATGTACACCCCTTTTGATACCACAGCCCAGGAGCATCAGGCAGATCTTATTATGGCCTTTATAGGACAATCAGCTCCTGACATTCGTGGTAAGCTCCA